CTACTCTCTTTTGTATATATTTATCAAGGCCTCTATGCCTTGTCCTTTGTCCCCCTAATAAAAAAAGTTTCTTTGATAGTCAATGTCACAACATTTAATTCATGTTGGCCATATCTGTCACAGTTATTCACAGAGAATAACCTTTGAATTGTCTGTCATGCATCTGTAGCAAAATATTACAATGTTTTACCTGTCATCAAGAACCTCCATCCTGTCACCTTTAGTGAAAGACACATCTGTATCTTCACGAGCCTGGTAGTTGTACACAGCCACCACCACACGGCCCCGCTGCTGTGGAACTGCGACAAGTGAACAACTTTACTGACCTCAAGTACAAACAATGCACATGCAAAATCAAGCAAGCAAGTTCACATCATAATTAACAGGGGGCAACATAAACATTCACAACAAACATTGCAGTGGAAGATATGGGAGCTTGGGATAATTACGATCTGACAAGAACGGGCTGGAAAGTATATTATATGGTAATAAATAACCATTTTCCTAACAGAACTAATAAAAGCTTCTGACAGTATGAAAATCTGTACTCCAATTTTATGTCTTTCTTTCTTTCTTTTCCTCTTGTCATCTTTCTGTTATAAAAGAAAAACAGACAGTGAAAGAAAGGAAATAAAACAAAGCCGAAAGAACATTTCTTGTATATGGAGGACCTGTAAATTTCATACCACTATTTGAAAATCTACAAGCCTCATTCTTCTTTATTAAAAAGTAAAGTAAAGCTACTCCCACTATACACCATGTAGGCACTTTGGGGGAAGAGTTTGTCCAAGTAGCATTTTTGTGGGATAAAATTGTACTGCAGCATAATTAGTACTTTAAGAAATATAATAAAATAATGAAGCAACTGTGCACATTATGGCTCCATTCCTAATATGTAAATGCATAAACTCAATGCTGCAAGCAGACTGGCCATTCCTCAGAGCACCGTAGCTTACATGGAGTGGCTGGTGTGCGGATTATGTCACCAACTTGTCTCTTCTGCATTCCAAGTGGTCGGTTAGGATCAGGTGTGTAGCGAGGATCAACCCCATTGGTGTGATGGGTACCACCCGAGTCCATCCCATCATGCATTTTGTGCCCACCAGGATGATATACTGACAAATGACACAACACACATGAATCAAGACAAATTACACAATATACAACACATTAGGTTGAATAATACAGTAACTCCTTGCTTTACAAACAGTAACATTTTCACAGTTATGCAATATTATACATTACTATTAGTTTGTTTGTATATTTATACATTAAAGGATCCAGTGGTGGATTCTTGACAACATGGTAATAAACTTGAATTCTACAAAAGGTCACTACCTAGTGAAAACTCAAGAATTATGACAATATAAAACTACATCTGGCATGAAGGAAATGTTCCACCTCAAATTTAGGTGAAGTTAGTTTAGATGGACAAGTCAGTTTTAAAGTTGCAGTATGATTTCTTTATTATGTTGATATCAATTTTCCATTTTATTCTGCCTCTGAGATTATTTCACTTGAGCATCTCTGTTCCATGTACAATATTAATTTTATAGTCTGTCCTACTTTAAAATGAACAGACTACTGCTTTCATGGAAAGAGCATTGCACAGTATAGGAGAAAAATCATTCTAAGCATTTGTCAACTTGTATGTTTACAAAAGTAGCATTAGCAACTATCAGAATACACAAACACTGCTTGGTATCATACTGTAATGACTGCATATAACAATAACACAGAAAACTAAGCAACAACAAACAACATGTAAATTATGTTGAACCCCAGTATGCAAAAACAGAAACAGACTTCTAAAAGGTTTCTATGATGGTGTGGCTTAATTTTAATATACAAAATAATTGATTTCGTCCAGAAAAAGAACAGTATTGAAAGAAACAGATTTCATGCTAGCCCTGCTGTTGAAAGTAACAACTAATAAGACATCCAAATTCATTCTTAACAATTGATGCACTGGTGTGCAGCCAATCAAAACTCCAATGACAGCAGAAATACACATGAGGAGGAGGAGGAGGAGGAGGAGGAGGAGGAGGAGGAGGAGGAGGAGACTAAATTCTTTCTAAATTATTGCTCCTATATTTCCTTTTCAATTAATTTCTACACTCCCACATACTGATTCATCCTAACAAAATATTACAAAATCATTTAAACAACTATCATGCAAGTATACTCACTTGCCTGTCCTCTGTTGTTCGGCTTACAGCAGCAAATCCCCATGTTAGATGACTGTTTCTCACAACTATGTATCACTAGATGCTGATGTCATGATTCACAATCATCCTGGCACAATAGTGCACTGGTGCACACTCACTAAAAAATAAAACTGCCACATTACTATAATCTGCACTGCATACAGTGTCGATGGATCTAAAATGTCCCCCCAAAATACTGGTGGCTGATTTAATGAATCATTTAATTTCCATTCACAAACATGACAAGATCACACAGATGTCATGTTGACAGACTGATGGCAGGAAATTAGTATATACAACAGTAAATTGGCCTCTAGCAATCTCATTAGCATCTGTAAATTATGGAGTAAAAATAAGAGGACAGACACATGGACTCATGAGCATGATGATAATTCAAATCTGACTTTCCTTATAAAATAAGGAAAGTAGGCTAAACATGAGAATGTACCTGCAACATGTGGATCTTCTGCTTGCTTCTTCTTCCTTTCACCATAACCACTTCACTGTTGGTGTCAGCTGTGTGATGTCTAAATTCTGTCAAGCCAGCTGAATATCAGCAGCTATGAGAGCAAAATTTCATACCTACACGGTATTCTTTAGCTTCAGTGTGTGGAAGGGACGCTTCACCTGCAAGTAGTGCCAAGTTTAAGAATGTGTAGTTTTACCTCCAATCCTCCCATAAGTTTAATAAATTTAGAGAGCACTGTTAAGGTGGAATCACACACAGAAATAATGACCTAAAAATGTACTTCTCACCATTGGGCAGACAGACGAAAGAAAGTCAAGGATGAAAGTTAATAACAGTGGAAACCATATTTTCCAAATGCAAAAAAACTGATCTCCATATACACTTGCTGCAGACATACATCTAATGTTCTAACCATGCTACATAAGTACGAATTTTTTAATTTCATTAAACTTTTTTGGTAATAAAAAATGTTAAACTATAAATAACAATTCTTTACAATGTTATATTTTACGCAACATTACTTTCTTCTTAGTGAGCTATTTTTGAGAAAAGCAACGTTTGATTCTACAATATAAAGTAGGGGTTATATTGTAAGTTCAGTGTAAGAACATAAACCAGAAGTATACAAGTTCAATAATTTTAATGCAGACACCCAATGCCAAATTTAATCTAAATCTGCTCAGTAATTTCAGAGATGAAACAGGTGGACATGACCTCTACCATAAAAATTTACTGCAAGCAAAAGAAATTAATTTTGATTTCATCTATCACAAAATGAATATGCCTTCTAGTGGGAATTGCTACTAGGTTATGTGATGCTTCAACCATGGCATCTTTTCTTACTACATTGTTCAATGTGAGAGTAAAAGTGAAATACTACAAAAAAAAAGGCTGGCCAACAGGATTCTGGTGGGCTCGGAACTCGATCCCGAGACATTTGTATCATGATGACTTGCCTTGAGAATCGACCTACAGTACCTAGGTTAAGGAACAGACAGGCACACATCGATACAAACAGATGCGTTCTACTCAAGAAACACAAAGCAACCTAGCACCCCTTTTTTTGCTAGCTCCCTCCTCCATACCAGTGTTGCGATCAATATTGTCGGCAAAACTCACCCTCAATCCGTCCGTCTGTCATACTCTGCTTCCAATTACATCAAGTTTCTCTTTATTATGAGACCACCCCCACCTCAAAAATAGTCCTTCTTTCGTTCACGGAAACCTCGTGAGGAGCCATGTGACCCCGGAAGAAGGTAAATAGTCCCCGCGGTGCCAATAGGCTCTTCGTGCTCTGTATTGCGCGGAAATCCGTGCCGTTCCAGTTCACGAGCATGTTAAAAAAACATACAATAATAATAACGAATGCAGAGTACATAGACACAAAAATGTCTGTAGACGACGTATTTAATCGACTGTAACTTTAGGAAACTACAAGAATAAGGATCCGTAACACATTCACTCTTCCATCTCCCCTGTATGGTTGTGAAACCAGGGCGATAGTGGTATGACAAATCCAGAACTGCCAGCTGGTGAGATGAAATTCAAGAAACAAAATGCAAATTAGGCTGCATCCAGAAAGACTACAAAAAGAACCAGCATATCTTGGGCCGAATCAGTATCAACGATAATTTCTGAACACACGTTGCACAGACGCTCCAAAGTAGTCTCCTCGCTTAACCCGCGTAAACAAGACGGACTGGTACAGGTAAGGAGCCCCGGATCGTGTCCGATGTAGACCGTTATTGTTAAAATTCCAAGTTATGTTACCAGTGCGTTAGTTACTTTGGCCCCTGTAGGCTATAAAGTTCCTCATTTAAGAAATAAGATGATGTACGTTCTTTCCTAAACTTCATCCCCTACGATTCGCTTCAGACGTGTCAAAAATTATAATTCGATAACCAGAGTTTGGTGGAAATCCACGAATTCAATCTACGGAACAGAGTTTTTACAACGAAAGCAGGCAACTACAGCTCACTGCCCCCTCGATGCATCATTTGGTGATTTTTTATCGGTTCGTTGAGCAATGAGGCCGCATTTATTCCTCCTTTTATATGTGTTGGTTTCCTTCCACACCGCAGGTCAAAAAGGCGTACAGGAGCCTGCAATAACAACATGGATCACAGATTCCGCCCCATTTACGATCTCACAACTTCCGAACACCCGAGAGGTAGGTATAAAATTCTCAAGGGCAAATACACAATCATTGCTCTGAATAACAAAATCAAAACACAGTAGCCAAGCGCGCGAACTTTGGGACTGTGAGTTCAAGTCTCATTCAAGGAATAATTTCCGAGTTTTCTGAATCGTCCTGTGTTGGTACAGGCCTTCCGTTGAGTAGATCATTCATCCAAGGATTAAAAACAAACAAATTAAATTAAATAGCAACCTCTTCCACATTGGCATTACGTCTGCTGGTTACAGTTTACAGTGCTGAACATGGCTCCCTGATCTTATGCCCACTTCTAAATATCTTTACATCTCTTTTACCATTCTACAGTCTATACTTTCATTTTAAACTACACCGCTATCTCTCGATTTTAACCCCCCCCCCCCCCCCAACAATTTATATTTCATCACTGATCCTTTCTCCCATTTCTCTTTATGCTTGGTTAAGTATAACCCAACTTTTTGCAGCTTTCAACAGCAACCTTTTAGTACGAAGTATAAAGGTTGAAGTTAATACGATAATGAAGAAACAAGCAAAGGAAATCAAGAAAACGCGAAAAATAAAATAAGATCCCATCGATAACATACGTGTCCTCTTAACACTCCATCATACAAGCTGTACAGATTGTCGCGTATTAATTGTGGGATAATATTTAATCAGTGTAGAAGGTGTACTCCAAAGGAGTACACATATTTTGCAAACGGTTGTCCTTTGATAATTTCTGTTCCTCTTTGTGGCCTTGATGGTAATTTAGGCCTGCTGCAAATATGAGTACACACCATTTCTTTCACTCTATTCATCTCGTACTGAAATTTTGCAGTAGAAGTGAGCATTAAACATACATAATGTCAACAAAAGTACTACAGCTAATTACGAACACAGGAAAGTATTATTTTCGTTGTTTCTTTAAATAGTCTGTCCACACATTATAACAAAATATTTTCAAACTATATTTCTCAGGGGAAGTTAGTCAGTCCGTTTTCAAATATCGATTTCGACTTTTTTGTGTGTTTGTTTGTTTGTTTATTAGTTATTTATTTAACGGCGCTGTCGGTCGCTCAGACTATATATATATGGTCGAATGATAAGATGAATATGATATGATAATTAATTAATAACAAAACGGAAAGAATGTGGAAGGAAGCGGTCGTGGCCAAATTAGTGGTATGTGTACTATCCCGGTATTTTCTGAAGAGGCTTAGGGAAACCAAGAAAAATCCGAATCATAAATGCCTGTCTCTGGGCACAGATTTAATCTGGAAACATCCCGAAATGAAGCAACAGTCGCATATAAAGCAGGAGTTACATTGGACCTATAAGAACGAAAATTACAATCGCTTAAAAATTGATGTAAATCACCACCTCTAATTTCATTTAAATTCAATCAGTAGTTTAAGAAACAAATCATGCAGACGGGCATTTCTACTCGTGCCTTCAACCCAAAACCAGTTTGTAATTTTAAACGAAAGATATGGAGCACATTCGTACATGCAACTCCAAAACAGATCCCAGCAGCTACAGAACACAACAAGTTAATATAGGTTTAAGATTAACTTTAACTCAAGGGTTATTTACATGAGGCTACACCTGCAGGCGTTCTCAATTTACATACATCCCCTGTCATCTTTAAAATCATTATCTCAAAAATGGATGATATCACGCATATACTGTTGAATACAACGTGCATATCTCAATGACAAGAATCTTATCTGAATATCATTTCGATATCATGAATGTGCAAAAAATCTGATAACTTCATTTACACGGTCAAGTAAAGGGGACGATGTATTAAAGTGTCTCGTTTGGGATTAAATGACCAAAATAATTAATCCACCGACACTGACGCTTACAATAACAAACCTAACTACACATTAAGAACTGCCTGTTATTCAGGAGGAAAGCTTTAACCTTCGCAGTGATAATGTGTGATGTAGAGGGGAACATAAGAACACTGTCAAAAATACAAGAATTTAACTCTCCACAATATAGTGTTTTAACAAAGACGTTTCAACTGTAAAATTTCTAGTCACAAACTTACATCCATCGGACTTCCGCATTGTCAAGGTCAAAGCGTTTCATTAAGAAATTAATAATGCGACAGATGGCCAGAATGTTTTATCGCTGCTTTCAAAAACTGCTCATCTTGCGAAATATTCATACATGACTTAAAATGTTAGACATTAGCCAACTCCATGGAGCAGTCCTTCTTAGGAAGCAATGCTGACGACTATCTCGACATCTGAATTCCAGCGTCAGGACAATAGGCGTCGAGACGTTGGGCGTCTCGACGCTCCTACCTGTTCGTGTCAAGTTGTATTGCCCATCCCAACGCAACTATGTGCATTCTTTCTTTTTGTCTATCCTTTCGTCAGTGGCGAAGCTGTGATATTTACACATCTTCATCATCTTGTTTTGATTATTACATTTCCGTAGTCACCTGTTGTTGTCGGTAATTCAGGTTTCCTCGGAAGGTTGCTGTCTTCTGGGTTGTTGCGCCGTGTAGTCCGGTAGAAGTTTACCGACGTTTCAGACGCCCTTGCTGCCTCCATCATCAGGGGAAACTTCTACCAGACTACACGGCGCAACAACCCAGAAGACAGCAACCTTCCGAGGAAACCTGAATTACCGACAACAACAGGTGACTACGGAAATGTAATAATCAAAACAAGATGATGAAGATGTGTAAATATCACAGCTTCGCCACTGACGAAAGGATAGACAAAAAGAAAGAATGCACATAGTTGCGTTGGGATGGGCAATACAACTTGACACGAACAGGTAGGAGCGTCGAGACGCCCAACGTCTCGACGCCTATTGTCCTGACGCTGGAATTCAGATGTCGAGATAGTCGTCAGCATTGCTTCCTAAGAAGGACTGCTCCATGGAGTTGGCTAATGTCTAACATTTTAAGTCATGTATGAATATTTCGCAAGATGAGCAGTTTTTGAAAGCAGCGATAAAACAAATTTAACTGTGACCTACACAGAT